TGTATTAAAATTGACAGTTTATCATAAAATAAAGTGACTTAAATATGGTTATATGAAATTTTTTTAATATGAAAATAATTTGCATATTATATGCGCAGTGATTGTTATTATATGTGTAATTGCATACTGAAATATACTTAAAATTCAGCATATTTTCAGTATATTTTCAATATGCAATTTTTCTTACTGGGTTATTAAATAGGTAGGTTTTGAATCTTCAAAATTTTAACTTTTTTTTATTGAAATAATAACAGTTTACTAACTGTTTTTTTATTTTTTTTGTAAATTTCTCTTTCAGACTTTTGTCAGATAGCTGAGTAAATTGTAGATAATTTTAAAATTATTTGGATTAGTGGATGATGGTGAATGATAAATGGTAGATGATAGATAGTAGATGATAGATGTAAACAATAGTTGACGATGGTTGATAATGGATGATAAATGGTAAATGGTAAATGGTAAATAATAGATGGTGGATAATAAATATAAATAAACAGATACTGTAAATATTTAATATTTAATATGATAATTTTTAATGTGTAATTTTAATAAAGTGAAAAAATAAAATATAATATTAATTGATTGTTATTGCAAAATTAAAATAAGCTAAATATATAAAAATCATTAACAATTAGACAAAATTAAACTTAATTTCACCAACATTCGGCAATTTGAAATTTAGATGAATGATTAGTAAAAGGTTAACGAATAGTTTATTTCTGATTTTTTAATGAATTTTTGCTGATTTGTGATTGTCAAGTGGTAGGTGAACTGTGCAAATCATCTATAATAATTTTGATGATTTTTTTTGATAATAATCGGCCAAAATTAGACCAACTTTTGTTTAATATTTATCAATTTGAAATTTGGACGAAATGGACTATTCTAACTAGTATATTTAGATTTTCAAAGGAAATTTATATATCAATTCCTTAATTCTGACTAAAATTTAAAAAAGCACATAGCACTGGTAATAATCACTGCCAGTGATAAATAGTAAAGTTCTTTTATAAATTTTATAAAATATTTTTAAATATTTTTTAATTTTTTTTTTTTTTTTTGCAAAATAATGCAAAATATTTTTAAATATTATTTAATTTTTTAAATCAAAATTTTATATAATATTATATAGAAAATTTCAAAGTTTACACGGGTGTTTGAACACGGGTCATGTGAAATATAATGACACCAATGTCACATCCTTTTACTTTTTCTATGCAATATATGTATTTTTGACTGCTCTGCAAGTTTACTTAAGGCATCAAAGGGGGTTTTGAATGCCGTTTTTGACTAATATATGAAAAACTGTCTTTGCCGATCATTTCCTAAATTTTTTTAAGAGCGATCGGCAAAATCAAATATTCATAGGTAAAGTCAAAACTGACATTCAAAAGCACCTTTGATTCCTTAGATAAACTTGTAGAGCAGGCAAAAATCCATTTATCTACTAATTTTAAAGTTTATACTATTAGTCAAAATGGCAATAATCACATGACCTGGGTTCAAACACCCCATGTACAAATAGAAATTGCCTATTATATAATACTATTAAAATTCTAAATAATAACAGATAATTAATTTCATCAGGAAGTCACGGGAAAAATGTTCATTACATGTATATTTTTGCAAATCATTTACATCGCAATTTTCATTATTTTAAATGTACATGTAATATTTAACATTAATGAACATCATCAATGAGATTTTTATCATGATGTGCAGCATTTAATAATAAATATTCAATGTACATATCTTTGCTATAATATTACTAACAAGTAAATTTCAGTTAACTACAGTTAGTATTGATCGGTATCACGTGATCAGTTTGCCGATCGATCTTTTTTTTTTTTGATAAAAAAAAGTTTAATAAAAAACTTTAAACTTCTTTCTTTCCCTTTCTTTCACTTCCCTTCGTCCCCTTATCCTTTCGTCCTTCTCCTATATCCTTTCCTTTCCTTTCGTCCTTCCCTTTCTTTTCGTTCTCCCCTTTTCTCACACCTGTAAGTTTCGTTACTTTTTTTTTAATTTATTTTTTTTTAATTTATTTTTTTTTAATTTATTTTTTTTTTATTTATTTATTTTTTTTTAATTTTATCTTTTTTTTTCGTTTCTTTTCATTATTTTATTTTTTGTAGGACGTTTACTAGGGGGACGCCGGCTTGAATACTATGAAACCGGACTTTAAGGTAGTAAGAAACTGAAAAGGGGAAGATTTTTTGTTATTTTTAATTTAAGAAACGAACTAACGTTTCTCTTTATTATTTTATTTTTTGTAGGACGTTTACTAGGGGGACGCTGGCTTGAATACTATGAAACCGGACTTTAAGGTAGTAAGAAACTGGAAAGTGGAAGATTTTTTGTTATTTTTAATTTAAGAAACGATCTAACGTTTCTTTTTCATTGTTTTTTTTTTGTAGGACGCCAGCTTGTTCACGAAACCAGACTTTAAGGTAAAAAACTGGGAAAGGGGGATGGTGGAAGGGGATTTCGCAAAGAGGAACCAAGATTCGTAAGAATCTTGGTTTTTTTTTATTTTTTTTATTATTATGAAACGGTTTACTAACCGTTCCTTTCTTTTTTTTATAGGTTCGGTATCTCGGGAGGGCTTCCGAAGAATGGAAAATGGAGAACTAAGATTCGTAAATATTATATTATGAACCTTAGATTTATTTCTTTAATACTATGGACGGTTCTAACCGTTCTTTTTATTTTATTTTTTATAGGTTCTGTCGGGTGGTCTTTCGAAGAACGGAAAACGGAGAACTAAGGTTCGTAAGTATTATATTACGAACCTTAGATTTATTTTTTTTAATACTATGAACGATTCTAACCGTTCTTTTTATTTTATTTTTTATAGGTTCCGTCGGGTGGTCTTCCGAAGAACGGAAAACAAAAAACTAAAGTTCGTAAGTATTATATTACGAACCTTAGATTTATTTTTTTTAATACTATGAACGGTTCTAACTGTTCTTTTTATTTTATTTTTTATAGGTTCCGTCGGGTGGTCTTCCGAAGAACGGAAAA